CATTTCTACAACATTAAAATTTTTGCTGTCAGGCCGCTGGGCCGCCAGGCCGCCAACTTCACAAAAATGAGAAAATAAAAAAGTTATCTGAAAGTGATTTTTTCTTTTTATATATCCTTTAAATAACAAGAATTGTCTTTAAAACGTCACTAAATGCCGTTTTATTGTAAAAAACAACATTTCTACAACATTAAAATTGTTGGCTGTCAGGCCGCCGGCAACTTCACAAAAATGAGAAAATAAAAAAGTTCCCTGAAAGTGATTTTTTCTTTTTATATACCTTATAAATATCAAGAATAGTCTTAAGAACCCCATAAAGTAACGTTTGTATAATATTTATAACATTTCTACAACAAAAAAATTTCCGGCTGACAGGTCGCTAGAGATAAAAAAAACTGTCTAAATGTTTTTTATGTAACTTTTAAATGGTAAGATATGTCTTTAAAAATTAAGATTCGTGTTAATTTCTTTGCCAAACTTGTATTCTTTTTTAAGTTCATGCCGCTAGGCCGCCAACTTCACGCCGCTAAGCCGCTGGGCCGCTAGGCCGCCAACTTCACGCCGCTGGGCCGCCAACTTCACACATCTTCGTGAACATCTGTGTATATCTTCATTTCCCCAAAGTTAAATACCCTTATCCCAATTAATTCTTGTTCATTTTGCGATAAAACAATTACTTTGATATCGTTCTATACTATTCAAAGTATCATAATATTAATACCGTCATTAAAATTGCCTATTTAACAGTGAAAAATTCGCGGGAACAAATTAGAGTAGGCATGTACTATATTTAGAATATGTTTGTTTACATGATTTTAATACTTTAAATTCAAGATAATGTTTCTTTAAATGTTTAGTACTATATAAAATTATATTGAATACAAAAGTCAGTAAATCATTTTTTGTTCAATATTTTTAAAAAATGGGTCAAAGACAGAAAAGGCCGGGTTGCATTTGTACACCAAATATCATGAGGCTGTGATATTACGAAAAAAAAATTCCATTGACCCATTAATGTCGAAAATTTAATTCAGCAGGTAAACAGGAAGTGGATGAGCTGCAGACTTGAAATCGAATCCCACAGTATGGGACCATGTGTCAATGCTGCATGCCAAATATCAAGAGGCTGTGATAAGTAGTTGCTGAGAAAACTGTTACGAAAATTTCCTACCATTGACCATTAATGTCGAAAAATCTAACTAATTTAACTAAGTGGATAATCAGGAAGTGGATGAGCGACAGACCTGGAATCGAATCCCACGGTATGGAACCATGTGTCAATGCTGTATGCCAAATATCAAGAGACTGTGATAAGTGGTTGCTGAGAAAACTGTTACGAAAATTTCCTACCATTGACCATTAATGTCGAAAAATCTAACTAATTTAACTAAGTGGATTAACAGGAAGTGGATGAGCGACAGACCTGAAATCAAATCCCACAGTATGGGACCATGTGTCAATGCTGTATGCCAAATATCAAGAGGCTGTGATACGTAGTTGCTGAGAAAACTGTTACAAAAATTTCCTACCATTGACCATTAATGTCGAAAAATCTAACTAATTTAACTAAGTGGGTAAACAGGAAGTGGATGAGCAACATACTCGAATCCCACAGTATGGGACCACATGTCAATGATGTATATCAAATATCAACAGCCTGTGATAAGTAGTTGCTGAGAAAACTGTTACGAAAATTTCCTACCATTGACCATTAATGTTGAAAAATCTAACTAATTTAATTAAGTGGATTAACAGGAAGTGGATGAGCAACAGACCTGAAATCGAATCCCACGGTATGGGACCATGTGTCAATGCTGTATGCCAAATATCAAGAGGCTGTGATAAGTAGTTGCTGAGAAAACTGTTACGAAAATTTCCTACCATTGACCATTAATGTCGAAAATTTAACTAAGTCGATAAACAGGAAGTGGATGAGCGACAGACCTGAAATCGAATCCCACGGTATGGGACCATGTGTCAATGCTGTATGCCAAATATCAAGAGGCTGTGATAAGTAGTTGCTGAGAAAACTGTTACGAAAATTTCCTACCATTGACCATTAATGTCGAAAATTTAACTAAGTCGATAAACAGGAAGTGGATAAGCGACAGACCTGAAATCGAATCCCACGGTATGGGACCATGTGTCAATGCTGTATGCCAAATATCAAGAGGCTGTGATAAGTAGTTGTTGAGAAAACTGTTACGAAAATATTTTCCCCGCCCGCCCGCCCGCCTGCCCGCCCCCGACCGACATTCACCATACTATAACCCGGATTTGCACCAGTGCAACCCGGCCAAAAAAATTTTATAAAAAGGTTAAAAGCACATGTGTTCTGTTTTCTTACCCGTCCGTGGAAATTAACCCGTAAAGCCAAAGGTCAATCTCGTTATCACATGGTCAAACATTTTGGAAATATGGCGGCCAAATCCTGAATTTTTTGCCTGTCGGAAACTATCAGGTAGTTTATGTTCGTAATAAGTTGTTTATATGTCCATCCTTGACTTATCAACAGATTATACATGTATATAGTTACGTTTCACTTTACTTCATGGCATGTTCGATGAATGAATACGAGCATGTCAGATTCCTGGCACGATTATTGGTGGACTTTCCCTACGGGTCTGTCTTCAGCGTTCACGTAATGTGACAGTATATAAACGGGTACGCTGAAGACCTTAAGGTTATAGTTTTGTTATTAAATCTTCACAATTATAGATCTGCATATTTTGTTTTTAAGATTATAATGTCAGAATCTTAAAACTAAACTGCATAACTCACTTATTTTTCATACAAAACATTTCATGGAAATATATATTTTTCGGGCTTGACCGACATAAACTACAGGTATAACACACCTGCAACGTCTGATATATTTGGATTGTAAAGTGCTCTCAATTATCACTCAATATAATCCTATCACTTGACAAATCAAGCTGTAATAACAAAGGTAAAATCAAACATGTCTATTCCCAACAGTATAAAATACTATAACAAAAAGTAGCCGAAAATACCAGGACCGAAACGTCTGAGGTGAAAAGAGGCCGAACCTGTCCAGGTGTGAACGTCCAGATATTTTCAAAAGAGTAAAGTAATTATTATACCAGATAGCAACTATTTTTAAGTAAGCCCCTATAATGAAATATATTTGTATAAAATAATAAACATCGTACAGTTGCACACTTCAGTTGGACACCACAATTGACCAGTGGGTGAGTAACCAGAAGCACTCGTTAGAGTTACGATCATCGTTAAGCCTTGGTTAAGCTCTAGTAAGTAATTTACCCTCTAACCTAAAACGTTCATCATACCAAAAATTCTGAAGAAATTGTCGTTAAATAACGAATACTTCGGAGTACACGCTAGACCTTCGTTGAAGGAAAAACAAAACGTGTGAAGCTCTTTCAACAAACTTTTTATGAGTATATATTATTTTTATAGCGTATTTTCTTCCTATTTTCCTGATAATAAGTCCTTGATATGGTGTTACAATCTGTATATGTCTTAATGTGTACAGTTATTATTTATTTATTTATCTATTATTTATATTATATAATAATAATAATAATAATAATAATGATAATAATAATAATAATAATAATTATTATTATTATTATTATTGCATTCATTTTCAAAATAATACGTTACCGTACTCATTAAACATGAGTGAGCATTTATTTGGTGAATTATCTTTAGAATAATTCCAAATATCTTTATACAAGTGATGTTGTTTTTTTCATTCCGCAGACAATTTAGACAACTGACATACTTTGGACTTATTAGAATGTTTCTGAGGAGATTGATTAACTTCATCAACTGACATAGAGAATAAAAAGCGACCTGTTGATCGGCTTAGTTATCTTATGTGATAGTATTCTTTCTTATTTGTGTTATTTCCTCATTATTTCTCGAAACAAGCTTACACTATTGATTTTGTATTGCATGTTTATCAATACATCACATTCTGTCATGTATGAAATCAATAGATATAATAATATTATTATTTATTTATTATCCTCCATAATACATGAAGATTTGAACGACAATTACACAACCAGTTTTTAAATAACTACAGACAAAACAAGTATACAAATGTGATATATACATTACAAGACAGAATATAGATAAACAAATGCAATTAATCTATAAAATGTATACATTGGACAGCACAATTATATGATTTGCCCCTAACTGAAAAGTATAGCACTGAGTAAGAATTAAGACGGGGAAAAAATGCTTGTATTCCCTCTAACCCTAGTGCGAAAACGAAACACTAGGAAATAGAGAGCAGGGAAACAAATCTACAAGTTTTAATTCAATGACATTTTTATGAAAACCTAGACCAGTTCACTAGATAATCGAAATGTCATTTTCATAAAGAATATAAAAGGTTGACTGTTCTATATACAAAGTGAAATTAAAGAATTCAGCATACAACACATTCATGTACAATGAAAGAGTGTTACACAGTATATGGATAAATTTTGACGTTTTTGGTTATAATGAAATTCAGAGGAGGGTATTAAGAAAACCATTATATACGTTTCATTTACTTAAAATTAATGGTTTACCAATATTTTCATGAAAAGTAAAGTTTATTAATCGAAACTTGCTTTGTTTCCCAATGTCATTTTCAAGATAGCATCATACAAAGATTAATTAAATATTTTCACCAGTATGTAACAAAGGTTATGTAAAGAAAGTTTTACAGAAAAAGCAGTTCATTCCTTCATTTGCATCATTAAAATTAAAACAAAAATTACGTTGCAATTAAGCGTCAATATTTTTGGAAGCATCGATTAAGGTATTAGCGAAAACATATACGGTCCTACACAGCATTATAACTGAGACAACCGACGTTTGAATCTCTTCCTTGCCGATTCTTATTGTCTCATTTATTAAACCTGTAGGCTTGTTATCTATCAAGTTTGTTATCAACAATTTAAAACCATGATAACGTCATATCTACAAATATTCGACACTGGATGTAAACCTTTGATCGTCTTTTATCATCATCGTGATACTAGTTTAATCAGTACAGTCCCAAGGTGATAACACAATTCGGAGGCTGGCACACAAGCTTACGATTGACGAGTGTTAAATATTTAATTTCTATATAAAATGGCGAAATATGCGGAAAGAGTTTTGAGCTTATTGTCATTATGTAAGTATTAAATTGTTTTATTCATTTAAAACTATTATGTCGTTTAACCCTTACCAAGCATAATCAATAGCTTAAATGTACGAGTACTTCATGATTTAAAGGGAAAATTTCAAAATATTTATTTGCTGAAAAGCAAACAGTGACGGAAATGGTCGCTAGGGATTTTCAGTGGTCACCAGCAGGCTAAGGGTTAAGATAAATAGGGGCTTACTTAATCTTGTTTGACATTGAATACCACATTATTTGTATACAATTATGCAAAGCCCATAAAGTTTTTCCTAGTTATATTACTACGATAGATACTTTAACACAGATACATATATTTTAAAGAAAATAATATTTGATTAGCATCTGCTGTACTTGTATTGTACTACTAAAAGTGGGGCTTCTACCAACAGCGACATTTTTCTTTATGCAATTTGATGCATTTGGTCCGCTGTAGTACTGTCAATGAACAGAAAAGTCATTGATGCTTCGTTCGCGATCTGTCGGTATCGGTATGCCGTCGCTTTGTGGTTTTTTAAAATTTGACATTCGTAATTAGATTTGTGTTGTGAAGATAGTGCAGGAAGTACAGAAGATGGCCTATTTCAGAAGCATACCTGGATCTTTTATGTGCCCGGTGTAAAGCACCGATACACGGGACCTTTAAAGTCCCATCCGAAATACTGTTGGTAATGTTAGGGAGGAGCGGGGGATCGAACTCAAGACCCCTGGATTATATATATGTATTAACCACCAGACCACAGATCCGCTCCTAAATAAATCGCTAGATTCCTAGATGTCCTTATATTTATGGACAAGCTTCTGTCATTGTACGAAATATACAGCTATGTATGTACCTCTGGTGCATCTTCTGCTTCACTACATGAGGTTCTACATTTGATTGCCCTACTAAAATCTTATGTTGCAGTGTTTTTTTTCTGTTTCAGTTAAGATTGTCGTTTTTTTCTGTATATAATACATCATTTGAATATCAATACTGATTTTAAAACATTTAGTGTACATATTTGTGACAATTCTCAAGGATCGTGTATACCATATGAAACAAGCATTGTTAGCCCACCCACTTCACACTGCTAGGAAATGTATAATGAGGTTTTAATATGGATTCATTAAGTATTTAAGTTTAGCCCGCTGGCCCGCCAGCCCGCCCATTTCACACTGCTAGACCGCTACACTGTTAGCCCGCCCACTTCACACTGCTAGAAAATGTATCATGAGGTTTTAATGTTGATTCAATTAAGTATTAAAGTTTAGCCCGCTGTCCCGCCAGCCCGCCCAGTTCACACTGCTAGCCCTCTACACTGTTAGCTCGCCCACTTCACACTGCTAGGATATGTATCATAACGTTTTCATGTTCAATCAGTTAAGTTTTAGAGTTTATCCCGCTGGCACGCCAGTCCGCCAAGTTAACACTGCTACATTTGTAGACCGCTACACTGTTAGCCCGCCCACTTCACACTGCTAGGAAATGTATCATGAGGTTTTAATGTTGATTCAATTAAAGTATTAAAGTTTAGCCCGCTGTCCCGCCAGCCCGCCCAGTTCACACTGCTAGCCCTCTACACTGTTAGCTCGCCCACTTCACACTGCTAGGATATGTATCATAACGTTTTCATGTTGAATCAGTTAAGTTTTAGAGTTTATCCCGCTGGCACGCCAGTTCGCCAAGTTAACACTGCTTCATTTGTAGACCGCTACACTGGTAGCCCGCCCACGTCACACTGCTAGGAAATGTATCATGAGGTTTTAATGTTGATTCAATTAAAGTATTAAAGTTTAGCCCGCTGTCCCGCCAGCCCGCCCAGTTCATACTGCTAGCCCGCTACACTGTTAGCCTGCCCACCTCACACTGCTAGGATATGTATCATAACGTTTTCATGTTGAATCAGTTAAGTTTTAGAGTTTATCCCGCTGGCACGCCAGTCCGCCAAGTTAACACTGCTACATTTGTAGACCGCTTCACACTGCTAGGAAATGTATCATGAGGTTTTAATGTTGATTCAATTAAGTATTAAAGTTTAGCCCGCTGTCCTGCCAGCCCACTAAGCTCACACTGCTAGCCCTCTACACTGTTAGCCCGCCCACTTTACACTGCTAGGATATGTATCATAACGTTTTCATGTTGAATCAGTTAAGTTTTAGAGTTTATCCGGCTGGCACGCCAGCCCGCCCAGTTCACACTGCTAGACTGCTAGCCCGTACAGTTCACTCTGTTATCCCGCTAGACTGCTAGCCCGCCCAGTTCACATAGTTAGCCCGCTTGACTACTAGCTCGCCCAGTTCACACTCTTAGCAATCTAGACTGCTAGCCCGCTCAGTTCACACTGTTAGTCCATTAGAATGCGTACTTCACGGCCATAACTAAAAATGCATTCTCACGTGTTCCGACTTTTTTCAGAATGATAATTAACCTTGATTTTATAAGTTATAAAATTTCTTTAGTTTTTACATGAACGATTTCAACAACAAATAACACACCTTTATTTGCTGATATATACATTTCCACATTATTTACAACAATTATCTCAATGTCAGGTCCGTGATTGTAAGGGGGAATTCTTAAACACTCGTCTTTTCCATGCCTTTTTACACAAAGCTATGTTTCTGTTAAAAGCTTTTTTATATGATTTTCTCCTTTTTACCTTAAACTAACACGGAATTGTCCATGAACTTCTACAACATTTCTATGTAGGGCGATGCTCTTTTTGCCCTACGCAGATTGCGCATGCGCGAGATATTACTACTTCCCGTCAATTTTTCATAGCAACGGACCGCGTCGTAAAAAGGTCTATATACACGACCATATAACATCCTATTATATACAGAGCCATATAACGTCCTATTATATACACGACCATATAATATCCTATCATATACACGACCATATAACGTTCTATCATATACACGACCATATAATATCCTATCATATACACGACCATATAACATCCTATTATATACACGACCATATAAAATCCTATTATATACACGGCCATATAACGTCCTATTATATACACGACCATATAACAATTTAATATACAAGGCCATGTAACATTATATTATGTAAAAGGCCGTTAAACATTTCATATTCGTTCAATTGAGAGCATTTGTGTTAACTTCACGATTATTCTATGAAAATTAACATTAAAATTCGAAATAATTAGAAAAGGCAGAATGGTTAGTCAGTATGTTACATGTATATCAAAAAACCGTACGAGTAAATGAAAGCGGTCTGAGGTCAATGTGTTTGCCTCTTAACATAGGTATCATTGGTATAAGCGCTCCCGGGGTCACTAAGTTACATATATGGAATGAAAAATGCTCATGTATGGGACACAACCCCCGCAAACGCGTTCTTTAAAGCGACGTGTACTTGTAAAATGTAACAACGCATTTAAGACATTATACGGTGTCCTATTTCATCCACAAAATTTCGCTAGTAAACACGCGATAAGTATCGCCCCTGAAGAGTACTAAATTTCGCATGTCTCACATCGTCTTTTCTATAGACCAGGGGCACTTATACTAGCAAAATTTAACAATTATCGTCTTATTTTTCTTATGTTGTGTGTTCATCATGAGATAATTATCGCGTTGAAGGGTGCTAATTATCGCATGAGAGACTAGCCAAATTTAATTCATGCGAAATTTAGTTTAAATTTCGCCCTGTAGAGGCGATAATTATCGTGTGTTTAAATTTCGCTAGTTTCTTATGCGAAAACAAGCACCCTTCAACACGATATTTATCGCGTGAAGAGCAAAAACCTACGAAAATTAAGACGATAATTATTAATTATCGAGTTGAAATTGTTAAATTTCGCTAATACATGTTTCCCTATTCTCAAGAAAGGGCCCTCGAGAGACTAGCGAAATTTAGTACTAAACTTCACCCTTTTGAAGCGATAATTATCGCGTGTTACTAGCGAAGCGAAATTTTGAGAGCTAAATAGGACACCGTAACATTATCACGTTAAAACTTTCCAGGTATAGTCTTCCTGCCTAAAGACGAATATTGTTAAAAGGGCCTCGAGAATTTAAGACTTTAGTGTATTGTATGTACGCTTTTGTGCGTCTAGTTTGCCCTAACGACAACACGACAAAGCGCCAAACGGCGCGTTGTCGGACTTTCCTGTAGCTAACGATGCATGCCAAACGGCGGGTTGTCGTGCGGCGTGATGTCGTGATGTCACATTGTCGCACGGTTCAAATCGAAGAATTGGATTATAAGCCAAACGACAGGGCAACATCGCGCCCCACGACAACGCGCCGTTTGGCGTGCTTCGCGAGAGACAGGATGACAGTGCGACAACGCGCCGTATGACGCTTTGACGTGTTGTCGCTAGCGACAGGACGACAGTCCGACAACGCGCCGTTTGCCGCTTTGTCGTGTTGTCGCTAGCGCCAACTAGACGCACAAAAGCGTACCAAATCAGCCACCACAGTATCGTGCACCTCTGATCCGTTCAGCAGCAGTGGGTCCTGGCTGCTTCTTACGAAGTCGTTCATTATCAATTACGTGTCTCTTCTGCTTAACATGTTATATATCCATGTACTTTACCCGTAATCAACTCATTTACTTTCTCGGGATCAAGTCATTTAATGTAATGTGATTTCAATGTTCCTTTTACAACCTGCACTCTCCCCTCTTAGATTTAGCACCAATCTTTCACAAATCGTTTCTATTTCCAAATGTTTTGGCAGAATATTTTATCATGTCTAGTTTCGTGTAAATCGATTGATGGTATTCTAAGGAAGTGGGTTATTTACAGAACGTTTTGAATAATCCTGGTATCTAAAATTGTTTACGTCATTTATTATAATCTTAAAGCAGCATGCCTCCAAATGAGCGAACATATTTCGATTAATTCAAACTTAAGGAAAATGTACCAAGCGTTTAGAAAAAGTAGTAAGATTCAAGGTTCTAGTAATAATTTACATGTAATTGGCAATTTAAAGTTATTTTTTTAATTATGTGTAACTATATATTTCTACTACGT